TCTGCTCTTCCCCCTCTCTGGATTTTCAGTATAAAATAAGGAGCAGGTACTGGATTAAAGGGGGGTGGGGGCGTCAAACACACAAGCTGGACCAGATTAAGCTGTAATTGGGAAATATTTACAAGACAAAGGAAAATACAATAAAACATAGATAACATTACATATAAAACTAAGTCAATGTCCCTTCCACAGGCATTCCTGGGCATAGTTTAGTGGTCCTCATTTCTATTTGAGTTGGACATTACTGGGCTAGATCAAGGTTCTTCAAGGGTCTTTCCTGCTTGGTCTCCGACAGAAAGGCCTCCTCTCTTCTCCCCACTCCCCCTTTCTTGGCAGTCTCCCTGGAGCCTCATCTGTCCCCTTGGGTTGGGGCTTTCTCTTCAGCTGCACCATCCCTTTCTTGGCTTGATCCAATCATTCTATCCTGGCCCTTCTCCTCCTCCTCCAACACTTCCTACTCCCTTCCCCTGGCCTACAAAATGTGTATGGGGGAGGAGGGGAGGATCTGCATGGATCAGACAGATATGGCTCCTCCTTTGGAACCCCAGGGGAGGTTCCTATACCTTGGAGCTGCCTCCTCTTGGTGTAGAATTCTTGTAGCAAAGTGCTTGGGTGAAGGGGAGGGGAGGGAAAGAGGGAGGGAAGGTGTCATGGGGCTTGGGTCAGGGAGGCAGAACAGGATGTGATAGTGGGAGAACAACTGGTTAAGGAGAAATAGAAGCCCCCCCCCCAGAGGGCAATCTTTCTACCCACAATGCTGAGGGACCTCGTGGGTTCCCTATTCTGATCCACTGGCCCCCATCCTGAGTTCTCTATCACCCTTCCCTGAGTCATCTGTCCCCATTCCCATCCTCCAAACTCCCTATCTCCCCCAACCCCTACCTCTTCTGTCCCCAATCCCATCCTGAGCTCTGTGCCCTGTCCTAGCCTCTGAGCTCCATTCACCATCCCCAGAATCCTCTGTCCCTATCCCTATCCCCTAAATCTACTGTCTTCTCTCCCTGTTAGTTTCCATCTCTCCTCCCCCCTCCCCAGGCTTGGTCTCTATCCCTCCCACATCCTGAGAACTCTGTCCCTGTCTCTAGCATCCTGTGCCCCACCATCTCCTTTCCCCTTAGAGCTAAAGTTCTGCCCCCACCTCTCATCCCTGAAGCTCTGGGGAACCATGCCCCCCTTCACCTAATGAGGCGACTTACATAACAACATTATAATATTTTCCATTCCCTGCAGCTGCTAATTGAAACCTTTCTGGGTCTCCCAGGCTCAGTTCTCTTACCCTCCTCCTTTCCCTTCCCTTCCCTCCCTCTCTGGGGGACAAGGGGCCTGGCTTCCTTTCCAAAGTCACTTTTGGAAGGAAAAAAAAACTTTCCTCTGAATTGTTAATGAGGTGGGGGGAGGGGTGCATACTGAGCAACAACCCTTGATTCTCCCCATTGTCCCATCACCTTCTGGTGATCTTTTACCTTAGACATTCCAATAGTCACTCTGCTCTCACCCCGAGCCTAAGCCTCCCTGCTTCTGACTGCTAGCTCCATTTCAAGGCAACTCCCCACAAAGCCCTTTCTATAGAAGATGGAAGTAAAGTTCTTGATTAATAGCCAGGGCTGGTGTGAGCACCTCTCCTCAGAGGATTAGTCCCCTCCCATCCCAGTACCATTGCATAAAAGAGGAAGGGGTCACTGCTGGGATACTTGGGTTCTCTGAGTTTGAGGTGGAGAAGGATCACAGCATTGTAGACCTGGAGGGGCCCCTCAGAGGAAAAATCGGAGGCCCAGAAAAGTGAATTGATTTGCTAGGGGTCACACAAGGGAGCAGGACTAGAAGCCAAGGTCTCCCTGTTCAGTGCCCTCTTTCCACTATTGCCTGCATCCATCACACCCCCAAATTGAAAGAGAGTGTGGGTGTCTTTAGGAATGGGAGGCAAGCAGTGGAAATGACCCCGACTGGTCAAGTGGCACCAGGCTGGTCTATGGTTAGACAGAAATTGCCACACCCTTGGAGACAGGGCTGGGAAGATCTATGGGCTCTGCAGGGGCTCAGCCTCTTGTCTCCTCTGAAGCCCAAGGTTCTACAGCCCTATCACACTCTGGACACTTTCTCCAGCTGGGGTGAGGTGGCCCTCTCCAAAACAAGCTCTAGGCGGACATGTCCCCAACCCCCAGAGGCAGGACAGGATGTGTCCCCAGCAAGCGCCCTGGGGCTTCCCGCCTCCACGGCTCAGCTTCTTCCCTAGCCCCCGCCCCCTTCTCTCCGCCCCCAGCCCCACATCATGGAAACTGGGCTCAGAGCCTGCCGGGGCTGCCTCTGCATTCCTGCGCCCCCTCCCCTTCCTCCCTCCCGGGATTGGGGGGAGGGGGACAGAGCCCGGGAAGAGGCCGAGGGGCGGGACAGGCGAAGAGAGTGAGAAGAGGAAGAAAGGAAAGGGAAGGCTTCGGGGAGGATGGGAGTGGGGGTGGGGGTGAAGAGGAGGGGAGAGGGCCAGAGCTCAGGGCAAGGGAAACCCTGCCCCATCCCCCAGATCCCCCACAACACAGAGCAAACTAGAGAAAAGAGGTGGTCCAAGGGTCTTCAGTCCCTATCCCATTGTCTCTCCCCCACTCCTCATCCCCCAACTCACTGCACATCCTTTAGAGCTAGGAGGGAATTAGAGATCTAGTTCCTAAGCCCTTGGATACCCCAAGAGTCACTCTGCTGCCACCCCTAGCCTGAGCCTCCCTTTCTCCTTCAGGATCACACACCCCCTGAAAACAACCCACAAACCTTCATGAAACCCACGTTAAGAGCTCCTGGTCTAGAACAGCAGCTCTTTCTAGTTGTCTACTGTGGGAGGTGTGGGGGGAAGAAAATAGGATAAAGTGCAGACCAGACTCAAGACTTCATTTGTAGGGAGCTCTAAGGGAAGAAACGCCCTTACACCTTTTGGGCAATTTGGAGACTGACCTGGGGCCATTGAGAAAGGAAGTCTCTTCCTCAAGCCTGGGGTCTCACATAGGCAGGGAGTATACAGAGTGGGGCCTGAACCCAGGTCTTTTGACTCTGACCCGGGCTCTCTAGCCCCTCCAGCTGTCTCTTTATTGCTCTCTAGTTTCCTATGGGCCCAGTTTCTCCAATCAGAGCTGAGACCGGGTCTCTTCCTTCCCTTCCCTTCCAAGTCTGCCCCATGACTGTATCATAGGGAGGGGCACATTTGGAACCTGTCCCTCACCCTCCATTATCGGTTCAGTGCTCTGGGGACCAATTAGGACCTAGGCTAGTGGAATCTCTGGAATAAGGGAGAGGGGAGTAAATCTATCTCAACGCCTGTTACCTGAAGTCCCTTCTGAAGCCAACCAAGAGAGCTTTTGAATTAACTTACTCTTCCATCATCTGAGTGTGTGTGTGCTGGCGCTCGCGTGTGGGCTGGAGACCGAAACGGGATGTATTTACAGAAAATACTCTGGTTCTACAGACAGCACACAGAATGTGCCTAATAAATGTTTTGTTGTTTAATTGAATTGAGTTTGTGTAGAAATGTACAGCGCTAGCCTGAGGTAGTCCTCATAAACTCTGTATATTCAAATGGCTCCTGATATCTCACCTCCTCCAAGAAGCCTCCCAGATTGAATCAGACCAGCATGGGGGCACCCTCTCCATCATCAGCTGTTTCCCTTTTTGGCTTTTACTTCCTTCCTTTAAAAGGATTTGAGTCACTGAAGCCCCTTTGTGCAGCAACAATTGCCATATTTGCAAGTCAAAAAATCCAAGTTCAAATCTCCACTCTTCTACTTTTGCTAGTGTTATCTTTGGACATGTCATGTAATCTCTCTGGGCCTCAGTTTCCTCATTTGTAAAATGAAGTGTTTGGATTAGATGATTTCTAAGTTCCTCCCAAGTTTTAAAGCTACGACCCTATGTTTCCCAGTCGGTTATGAGAGAGGCTGGGCTGGTGTGCTTTAGGGAGGGAGAGGGTCAGTAGTGAGAAGGCAGAGAGGCCCAGCTGAGGCCTGGGAGGAGGCAGAGGGTACAGGCTCCTACCATTAATGTTACTCACTGAGTTTCCAGTGTTTGCCAGAGTTGACTGGGGCCAGATGGATGGGGCCAGGGTTGAGTGGTTCCCACTTAGGAAGGAATGTAGTGTGATAGCCCTTCAGCCAGGCTTATTTGAGGATACAGCCAGTAAGAAGACCAACGTCTCAACCTTTAGTTCCGAAACCCACTTCCTCCTTAAGACTGCAGGGCACCCTCTCTTTGGGCCTGGGGCCCCCGCTAAGGCCTTGGCAGCTCTGAGGCAGCAGCAGTGCTAGGAATAGTTCTTACCTACTTCCCACGCACCCCTCTCACCACTGCACCACCCACCGCCCCCCCCCCATTTCTGAGGGCCTGGGGGAGGGTAGAAAGTGTTAGGCCCCGGGAGATACATGCCTTTAGTCTGAGCCCCTGAGTGTATTGGGGCTGGCAGGTGAGGATCTGGAGATCGAGGAGTGTGGGACCAGATATATATACATGTAGGGAGGTCCGACATGGGGGATCACAGGCCATTCCCCACACTGGGGTACCTCTCTTGCCTTCACAACAGATGGGGAATGAGGGTGGGGAGAGAACTATTCTACATTCTTCCCCCCATCTGACTCTAGGGCTGTTCTGGTCCAGGGAGTCTGTCGCCCTCATATCACATCCACGACGTGCCGCCCCCTCTCTCCGCCCCCCTCCCTCCAACCCCTTTCCAGGTCTAAAGCTGAGTGAATCCTGAACGCAGCTCCGCCATCCTCCCAATTAGGGGGCCTTCGGCCAGGCCAGCGCCTCCCACCCTGGCAGCCTCAGGACTAGGTTAAGGTGTCCTGAGATCCGGTGGTCCCCCTATGGGGGGGGTAGAACTAAGATTCTTAGGACTATCTCAGAGCAAAGCTTGAGAGGTTTGGGGAGAAGGAGGGGCGAGGCCGCGGCGGTCCCGGCGTTTGCCCGGACAGGGGGTGGGGAGGCGGAGGCGGAGCTGGGGGGACGGGGCAGACGGGAGGCGGAGCACACGGACCGCAGGGGGTGGCAGGGGGAGCGGTTCTGAGAGGCCCGAGAGTCGGGGATGGAGCCGCGCCGGAAGGGGACCAGGGCAACCGGGCCCGAGCGGGAGGAGCCCGCCTGACCAGGTGAGCTGGCGCGGACGGGGGCGAGGGAGGCCGTGTGGGGCCTCCGTGCGGCGGCGGGCGGGGGCGGGCGGGGGCGGGCTATAAAGGCCCCCTTTACGTCTCCCCCATCCCACTCTCAGATGGCAGCGCCCCGCGCATGTAGGGGAACCCGGGTCAGGAAGCCATCCAGAAGCCGAGGCCCAGGGAGCGGCCGCCAGCCCCCCAGCCTCCGGACTTCCCAAACTTCCCAGCTCTTTGTCAAACTTTGCCCCTTTCCCTCGACTCCGGCCCATCCCAGCCTGGCCCCAGCCATCGCCTCTCCTCCCCCTCCAGCGCCCGGAGAAGTCCACGACCCCGCCTGGGTTCCAGTGCCCCCCGCTCCGAGCTCTGCTTGGCCGGGCCCTGCCAGGTTCACCCTCGGGGGTGTCTCTGCCAACTTTCCCGAGTGTCTCGGACTCTTGGATCCACATGTTATTATTCCGGGCTGATTTTGGGCAAACTGGGGTCCCGCCCACGTCGGCTGAGCTGAAGGGAGGGCCCGGACTGTAGGCGGAGGACACCTAGCCAACCCTACGGCCTCTGCACCCGCCCCCTCACCCCAAGAGCAGGGAGACAGAAGAGGAGAGCACCATTCCTTACTGTCTCTCACTTTCACCTCTCAGTGTTTCCCACTGTCTACCCTGACTTTGCTGGACGGACTAAGCGGGGAGGGGTGGGCGCTGGTTCCTGCCTGTCCAAGCCTCTGGGTTGGGAGGCCATGTAGAAGTCTGCCTCTCTAGGCATACGCCTCCTAAGATCTCCCATTCCTGGGGCTGGGGGGAGGGGAGGGGGGAGAGAGAGGGGGAGAGAGAGAGAGAGAGACAGAGAGAGACAGTAAGTAGAGGGAAGGAGGTTCTTTCCCCATTACAAGAAGGGAACTTATAGGGGTGAAGGAGGCATGGAGTTTATCAGAAGAGGTCTAGAGCCAAGTCTCTGTCCCTCCGAAGACCCCCAGACAGATGACACCCTTGATGAAGGTCATTTCATAGTAGGGTAATTCCATGGAGATACCCCTGGACAAAGCAGTTTAGGAAATAGCTCTGCCTCTAATTCACTGGGTAGCCGTCACTTTTCCAGGCCTCAGCTTCCTCTATCAAAGGGGGCTGCACGAACCAAGACTCATTACAGATAATGATTTGTTATGTTTTTCCACCTTAAGGGGGGTGGGGAGAGTGTCCATGGACATCTCTAGACATGTGTGTGTGTGTGTAGTATGTGTCTGTGTGTAAAGAAGTCACTGCTTCCAACCCCAAGTTAAGAACTGATCTTCAAGAGGCACTAATATGTGCTGCCACTTACCAGGGGTGGTAAGAAAAGAGGTTTTCATAAACAAGGATATGATCCTTTTGGACACCTAGCCCACTGCACTCAGGAAGAGACATCAGCCCTTGTAGCCCAGAAAGATATCAGCTCTTAACTGGTGGTGGTGAGCACAAGACCCAGGTTCCCCCTGGTTCTCCTAGACCCCCTCAGTTCTCTCCTCACACTCCTTCCTGCCCCCCAATGCAGCAGGACCCAGGAGGACAGGAATGGGGCTATTCCCTACCCCTACTCCCACCTCAGTATGCTTTCTCCCTAGTTTGAAATGTGCTCTGGAGGGCAGTGCTGAATCTACCAGAGATGACAGCTGTCAGTGGCAGGATGGGGGTAGTCTATGATAGGGGGATGAGGGGGAGAGGGATCAGGCAGGAGGGACAACCGTGAAGCCTGAGGGCTGGTGTGGGTGGGGGTGATGAGGAGTGGAGGAAAGGAGGCCAGGGAGGCAGGAAGAGGGGGGATGATTCATCGAGAAGGAGCCTGAATTGGAAACACTGCAATGTGGGGAAGTATCCCGAAGACGGGGGGGAGGGAGGGAGGAGGGGAAGAAGAGGCATCCCAGGGAGGAGCTAAGCTGGGCTGGCACCAAGGTCCCCTCAGCCATTTCTCCCCCCCTCCCAAGGCTTCGGCGCTCAGTCCGGGTTCTCGTTCCCTTCCCCTTCCTCCCTTCCCCTGCAGTTTTTCCATAGTACTCACACTCACTCACACACAGAGATGGTTGTTTTCCAAGCCAAGCTCCAGCCCAGGAGCAAGCGGGGCTTCCTCTGCTCATCTTAACTATCTCATTGCCTCCTCGGTGGGAAGGAGGGGGGTATCCTACCTTACAGACCCCTGAATTTGTAGAGATTTCTCTTCTTAAGTCTTCAGCTTCTCTCTTTATGTAACTGAGTTAGAGCTGTGTAAAGCTCTAACCTGGATGTCTCCTACTCCATCCAGCTTTAGTTCTGACTGAGTATTGGTTTGGAAGGAGGCTGGGGGTGGGGGAGATCATAGTGACTGGTCCTCCTAAATATACACCGCCCCCCCCTTCCACCCCACCCCTCCCGGAATGGAGATATGCGGGCCCTTGCACTGGCCAACAAGGTTTGCCGGTATAGGGGGTGAGATGGAGAGCCCCCAAAGTTCTCCCTCCCGTGGGTCCCAGGAGCCACGTGCGCTGGAGGTGGGGGGAGGGTGGGGGGGTAGGGGAGGCGGGGCCGTACTCACCCGTAGAGAATCTGCTGCTGCGGACACCTCGGGCCCCTGCCCCAGCGCAGCCCAAGCAAGGAATCGGGGGCTGGGGGTGGGGTTGAGTAAGGGGCGGCCGGAGGCGGCCCAACCTGGCCCTGGCCCCCGGGAGCCTCCGGATGGGGCGGAGGGCTTGTTGCGGCCCCACTGCCCTCAGCCTCTCCGCCGACCCGGCCAACTCTGGCTCCCGCCGCGTCTCCCTGGCTCGGAGCTTCGCTGCGGAAAACCCGAGCGGGGGCGGCTCCCCGCCTGCGGCCCCGGAGAATCCGGGGGCGCCGGGAAGGGATCTCCAAGCGGGCCCTGAGAGCAGCATCCCATCCGACCAGGGCTCATCCCCAGAGAGACTGAGGCTCTGGGGCCAGGTCGCGGAACCCGGGCGTCCGGGCTCCGGGCCCCGTCGGCTGACACTCCTTCTCCCTCCGCAGAGCACTCTGACTACAGGACGATGACGGCGGGGAGCCCCGGAGCCCGCGGGGAGGCACAGAGCCCAGAGTCCCCGAGTCTGCCCTCGGCCCCAGCCCGAGCCCTCCGCCGCCTGGGCCGCCGCCGGCGCCTGGGCCGCCGCCGCTGCTCCCAGCCCGAGCTGTTGGGGCTACGGGCTCGGCTGCGGCTGCGCTCGCCGTCGGGGGCCTTCGCGGTGCTGGGGGCGCTCGTGGTGCTGGTGGGCATGGCTGTGGCCGTGGCAGGTTACTGGCCCCACCGCGCGGGGACGCCGGGGGCCCGGGCGGCCAACACCTCGGCGCCGGCAGAGATACGACGGTCGGGCCGTCTCTCGGGCCCCTCCGAGAAGCTGAGGCTCCTGGGACCTGTGGTCATGGGCGTGGGCCTCTTCATCTTCATCTGCGCCAACACGCTACTCTACGAAAATCGCGACTTGGAGACCCGACGGCTCCGCCAAGGGGCACTTCGGGCACAGGCACTGCGACCCCCCGACAGCCCTGCCTGGGACAGCGGCATCAGGACTGCCTTGCCGCCTGGAGGGGCCTGGCAGCCCGAGAGAAGAGACTTCTCGCCCCGTCGGGGCGCTTCCCCAGTCCCGTCCGTGCGGAGCCTGCATTCGGAGCCCCCGAGCCTCCGCCCGGCCCTGCCCGCCCCGCCACTCACCAGGTGGTCGCTGAGAGCCCCAGGGCCGCGGGGGGAGCCCTCCCCACCCTGGAGCCCGCGGGGCAGGCTGGGACACGTGGTCATCGCCGTGCAGCCGCAGGTTCTTGCAGGGCACTCCAAATCTCTGGACTTGGGGCGAGGAGGGGTGCTGCTTGGAACCCCGCCCGGCCACGATCGCGCACATCGCAGCTGGCCCCGCCTGGACCTGCTCAGCCTGGGCGGTTATACCAAACTGGATGGCGGTGGGGACTTAGGGGCCCGAGTCTGAAGAGCTCCAGGCACATACTTCTAAAAGACTGCAGTGTGTGCAACAACGTGGTGAGAGTAGTTCAGAGGCGTTCGGATGCCATCGCAGAGCATCTTCCAGACACCGGAGCTGGCATCTAGACCTTGAGCTCGTCCCAGGGCTTCCATCGATCGTTGTTCTCCTCGACCCAGTCTCCCCTGGATCTGACTCGGAGAGGAGAGAGCCCGGAGCCCAACCAGCTCTTCCTGCTCCAGGCCTGTAGTAATACGTGGAGGATGAATTTCGGGAAGGGGCCCCAGCCCTCCGCTGACCTTTGATCTGCAAAGCTGCCTTCCCAAGCCACCCAGAGAGCCCTGTGATGACATTTGAACGAGGGTGGGGGGAACGGGGAGAATGGATAAAATGCACTGCAGTTCAGTGGTTATTGCCGGGACCGAGGAGTCCATAGGTTGAGTTGGGGCGCCTCCTGCCTCTATCTTTGCAGAGGACTGATGTGCTTTGGGGAAACAGGCCCAGGGCAAAGATCCCAAGTCTTTTCCTCAGGTTACCCACCCCACCTCCAGTTTATTCCTCTAGGACTGCAATAGCCCCACAGGCCCCAGTCCCCCCAACCCTTAAGGAAGCACCACCTGGGTTGCCCAGGGGCTCAGTTCCAGTTGGCCTGGGATAGTGGCTGATTCTCAGAAAGCCTTTACCACTCACTTGGAAGCTGTCTTCTTGGCAGGGTAGGCACCAGGACCCAGAACAAGGGCCAGATTTGGGTGCCCTTCCCATGATTCAGTATAGGAAATAAGCAGACCACGTCTTTGTTTGAAATTTATTGAAAAAGTAATACAAGCAGCAAGACCAACCCAGTATAGCTAAACACTACCACAACCTCCCCTGCCCTCTCACTACCAAAGTCCCAAACAGCAGATCTGATCATCACCTAATTTAACCTAAGGATTTTCCCAGTTTGATTCTGCTGCCATAGCTCCTAGTTCATCAAAAAATGTAAACAGCTATTCGATACAATACATAATTGTGAGGATTTTTTTAAATTTACAGACCTTCATTTTTTTTCTTTGCAGCTAAAATAATACACTTGAAACTGATTTGTAGAAAGAAATCTAGATTGGGGACCAAATTGGTGGAAAAGGTTCTGGAGTGAGAAGACCAGTCACTGCTGGGGTGGGAGGCTTGGACTCCCCAAGTCTCTCCTCTCCTGCTCTCCCCCATGTCCCACTGTACTGGATACTGAGTGGGCCTGAGATGCTGTAACAGAAGCTCAGGACAGCCCGCAGCTAGGGATGACAGGGCGAGCTGTGAGACAGCCATCCCAGCAGTCTCATCTTGAGGTGGAAGAGAATAAAACTGTAGAGAAAGTTGTCTGTGGTGTGTCTGAGTCGCTTTGGTCAAGTTCCTGCCAAGTCCCTAAGCCTGGGAGGATTTCTGATCTTGCCCTATATATTTCTCCTGCCCTTGGTGCCCTGGCAGGGCAGCCCACCATCTCCTTTGCATCTGGTTCTTTTCACATGTAAAATACGATAGGCAGAGAAAAATCCAAATAGTCTCAACATCTCCTGCCGGGTTAAAGTCAAGGGGAGGAGAGAAGAGAGAGGCTGTGGGGCAGGGAATATTGCAGGCCAAATGACCCCCACTATGCTTGAAGGAGGGAACAGGACCACGGGAGAAAAATGTTTGACTAAGGCCACACAGCTAGTGAGTGAGCCCCTTCTGAGCCAGGTGATGGAGCCACCACTCACTAGCTGTGCGACAACAGATGATCCATTTAATTTCTCTGGGGCTTGGTTTGTATGAGTCAAGGAGGGATGAAGTTGGGATGAGGACTCGGCTCAACCATGTTCATGCTTTAAAAGTCACGTCACTCTGCTCTGGGACAACTTTTCAGTAAACCTCAGTCCTCACTCTTGCCAAAAAATGTAGCCTTACACCAAACTTTCTGGGCTCCACTGGCACGTTTCATGATATTCTCAACTCTTTGCTGTATCCTTCATATGTGAAGATAATACTGCTGGCTTCTCCTCCATAGAAAGAGATGCTTTGTGGTATTTTCCCTCCTGATGGTGATGGGCTTACAATGAGCCTTCCACTCCCTCTGGCCTGGTTCCCTATGTGACAAATGCTTGTCTGAGCCTCGCCCCCCTTCTGTGAGTGATCAGCTTCCTCTTGGGAATTGTGGGCTTTGCTGCTATATACCATGGCTCATGGTATGCCTTTTTGACTGGGGGCTGTGTTTTCACTGGCTCCATTCTGGGTTGGTCTTTGTGACTAAAGCAGCAGGTGGGCGGGGGCCCTGCCTTCCCAAAGGGGATACCACTTCAGCCGATAGCTCACCGAGGTCCACTCTTTTCCCCCAGCTGGGATCGATTCCAAAGTAAGTGGGCGCTCATGGCCTGCTGTGGCACCACTCCTGGTTTACAAGCTCTGGGGGAGGGAGGCCACAGAATGGCAGCCTGAGGGGAGGGTGCTGACATGAGTGAGCTGCGTGATGCCACTCTGTGGCTTGGACAAACTGCTGACTTTCTTGCCTCCCCCTTGCAGCTCACCTTGTCCTCATTCTAGGAAGCCCTTGCTCCTTCCAGGGTAGGGCTCAGGAAGATATGTTTGGGACTAAAGAGGAAGGCCAATGGGAAGACCAGTCACTGTGAGAGAAAATCCTCAATTGTAGGCCACAGCCCCGAGCTAGGTTAGGCAGGTGCCTGGGAGGCAGGCACAGGGGAACACTGTGATCATGAATCCTGAGGATATTAGTTCTAACACTTCAAAACCAAATCCAGAAAGCCTCAAACTCAAGTAGAAAATAGTCAAGACTTATGGAAGGAAGACATGCTCTGATTCCCAGGTCATGCTACAACCCTGGGAAAGGAGACAAAGGTCCCAGGCCCACAAGGGCCTTGGCTTAGGGATCAACTCCTACGGGTAGGCCCTAGTGGGGAGAAGAGAAGCAGCCAGGTCTGGCTACTCTGATACTTCTAGATCAGTGAAGCTGCCTCAGGAAGGCTTCTTGGCAGAATCCGACAGTTCAAAGCCAATCTCAGCACTGTCGTACTTGGGAGCATCGAGTGGTCAGAAACAGAGCCTTCCTCTCACACCTCATTAAGCCCCCCTTAGTCTCTCCTTGAAGCCGTTAGGTAGAACAAGGACGTTTTGATGCTTCGCTTCTGCTGATTGTGCTTGCTGGGTGGATGTTGCACAGTCCACTTGGGGGGTCAGCAGCTGTTGTCTTGAGACTACTGTCCATAAAGTTTGATCTACTGTATTGGGAGAGGGAGGGGAAAGGCTATTTCTGAAGGGACCAAAAGGTTAAGGAGGTGGGTGACAGTTCCATGAATGTGCTTGAGAATTCACAGTATCATATATTTGAAGTTCCAGTTTCTTTGCTCCAAACAGCTACTGAAATAGCTTTTTGAAAAAAAAAAAGAGTGTTAGAGAGAAAAACACTACATTCGCAGCCGCAGTCTCTGCCTGTTACGGTGTGCGTTTGGCGCTCTGCCCATTACTCACAGAGGAACACCCTTCCAATCAGGCACTGGGGAGATGCCTCTACTACCCCAGGCTTCAATCAGGCAGATGAAAAGGACTCATTGGCTCCAGAAGGGGAAGAGTTGGTTTTTGTAGCCATGTCTGTCACCATGAGGGTACAACAAAGAACAGAGACCAAATAACCTGGCTTTCTCCTCCAGCACAGTGGATGAGGTTCTTGCGAGGTGGCAAAGCCCATGGAATGGTCAGTGCCTGGGGTCAGAAACAGGTATGAAAAAGTGAAGAGTGCAAGCCACCCTGAAAAAAATCACCACCGCTTAGCTAAAAAACAGTCCATAGAGTAAAAAGCTGGGCAGTTTCTGACATCACAATCTAGAAAAAGCTATGGCAAAGGCTCAGTGGCATCTAGAAGAATCCCACGTCATTAACTCCAAATTCAAAGGAAGATGAATTTTCAGTGATTTTAGAAAAATCTTGAAAGTCCAAAGCCTGAATGCTGCAGGAAGTTTCCTTATTGTTCTGTTAGTTTTCTCCAAGACTGGAAAAGGTGTGGGGTGAGATTCCTGGAGGAAAAAAGAAAGGCAGATCTAAGAGAGAATATGGAGAAAGCCAACTTAGCTTACTGCTCTTGTCCTAAGGCTAGGTTTTGACTTACAAGCGCATTAGGTTAGAAGAGGCAAATTTTGGGGCTAAAATCACAGAATCTCAGAACTCAGAGGTCATCCAGTCTAACAGTTCTTAATCTGGGCTCCATGGATTCCCAAGCAGTCTATGAACTTGGATATGGAAAATATTACATCTTTATTTTTGCTATCCTGTAACTAAAATTTAGCATTTCCTTCAATTATTTAAAAACATTATTCTGAGAAAAAGGGGTCCATAGACTTCACCCAACTGCCAAAAGGAACCATGACAGAGAAAAGACTAAGAACCCCTGGACAATATACGCAACATGTGGCCTCCAGCTTTCTTTGGGGGCTCTTTAGTAAAGATTCAGCCCACTGCCTCTTGGGACTAAAATAAGCTTCAGACAGCTTACCTGTGAGAAGATCTTCCTTACACATTAAACCTAAATCTACCTTTCTGCAGCATCAATGCATGGATTCTGGCTCTGCCATTGGAGCCAACAGACCAAGCCTTGTGCCCCTTCCATGTGACAGCCCTTAAATTCTAGAACAGAACCCCGATCCTTCTATGGTTACCCTTTCCTGGACACCCTCCAAATTGTTCGTGTTCTTCCTAAGATGTGGGACCCAGAATTGAACACACTTTCCCAGGTGTGGCATGGCCAGGGCATGCTGGAAGTCCACTGCCTTCCTCCCTCTGGGCACCATGTTCCTCATCATGGAACCCAAGCTTAGCTTGGTTTCCTTGGCTACCATGCTGGACTGGACTCTGTGAGCATGAAGTCCATGAAAATTCCAGATCTTTAAAAGAGCTAAAAGGGCAGTATTTGACAGATTCTCACTTGTCTGTAAGGTCCTCAACTTGAATTTCTAGAGTTTGTTAGAGAACCATCCTATAAAATCAGCAGTCCACCATCCCCACTGCACAGACAAGAATGATAATAGTTCAGATTTCTCTAGCATTTTAAGTTGGCAAGGGGCTTTCTATCTATGATTTCACTTATAAGATGCTAACCTGAAGCTCATGACTTTTCCAAGGTCACATGGCAAATATGTTTCACAGTCACAGCTGGAACCCAGTCTCCTGAGACAGTGTTCTTTTGACTATTCCAGGAGAGGAAGGCAGAGGAGATTCAAATCTGACTTCAAGCCTCTGAAGTTGGAGTTAAACATATGATGGCTCCCTATCCTAGCCCATCCCCCCTTCATTTATCCACACTAACTTTTGTCTTCACCTCCTGATGTCCCAGCTGGCTTATCCATGCTGGTCAGAGACTACTGCTGTTAGACAGCGGTAATGAACACCACTAGGCAAAAGTTAAGTCCAGTCTTCCTAAGTGATACAGTGGAGATTCCTCAGGAACACCTTACCTGAGTTACTCCTCAGCTATCTCAGTCTCCTGATGGACAACAACCTTGGTCACTGACATGTCAGGGTGCTGCTCCTTGGCTTCTTTGATTGCCTGCACAAGGACCTAAGAAAGAGAGTTGAAGTAATTAAAAAAGAAAGCAGCTGGGCCAGTTTACAAGGGAAGAAAATGGATTTACAAGAGCATCTTTATGCTATAGTCAACCCCTTCTTCTCCCCTGAAGGCCCAATAAGTCCAGGGCAGCGTGGATGCCAATCCAACCTGATTATGGCAGAGGAGATGAAAGTTCAGCTCCAGGCTAGATGACAGTAACAAGTGGCAAGATCCAGTTGCTTTGAGGGGTGGGGAGGGAAAGCAGAGGGGGCCCTTCCTTGCTTGCCAGATGCTTCTGAGAGGATTTATAGAAGATGTGAGTCTAAAGGGAAGAAGGCTGCATTAACAGCTCAAAAGTGGAAGAGGCTGCAGCAGGGAGCAAGTGAGATTTTAAGACAAGGTTGGACAATAACTTGTTAGGAATACTGCACAGGTGATTCCTACTCAGGTATGAACTGGATTAGATGACCTGTGAAATCCTTTTTCACTCAGACGTGGGGCAGCAGAATGAGGAAAACATGCGGTGCACAGGTGGTCTGCTGGAGCAGGAGCCAACTGAGCAGGAGGGGAAGAGAAGCATAGGAAGAAGGAAACCTAATGGAAAGAGCCCGGCCATATGAAGAGGAGGGGAGATCAGATCAGAACAGCTACCAGAAGCTACAGAAGAAAACAAAGATAAGCAAACACAGAGAAGCAAATAAAAGATGACTTGAGAACAGAGAGAGAACTAACAACTGAGGGGATTGGGGGGACAGGGAGACTTTCTATAGGGGGCAGCACCTAAGCTAAACCTTGAAAGAAGCTAGGCATTTTCCGAGTATTCTAGGCACAGAGATAGCCTATACAAAGGAATGGCGGTGGGAGATGGCATGCCAAACAAAGAGAACACCCAGTTGTCCATTTGGGCAAGAATGTGGAGTACAAAGAGTAATCACAACAAAGGCTAGAAAGGTAATTTGGAACCAAACTGTAGGAGCCAGCAGACCAAGTTTGTGGTTTATCTTTGAGGCAATAGGGAGCAATTGAAGATTTTTAGGGGGGAAGTGACATGGTCAGACTTGTGCTTTAATAAGATTATTTTAGTGGATGCATGAAAGAAGGCTTGGTGAGAGAGAGAAGGGAGAAGTGAGGGAAGGATTCAGAGAAAGAGACAGAAAGAGAGACAGACTGGAAGCACGAAGACCACTTAGGATGCCATTATAATAATTTGGGTTAGAGGTGATGAGGGCCCAGCTAGGGGAGTCATATGAGTGGGATGAATGTAAGAGATGCAGTGGAGATAGACACAAGCAAACCCATGGGCAGGAGAGGAAAGTCCATTAGGTAAAGAGAGGTTAATGTAGAGAGAAACGGGGGGGAGGGGGGAATATGACTTAAGGGGGCAAGCTCCAGATTCCTCCGTAGCTCTCAAGGAGCTTATATTCTACTAGGGAATACAACACATACATGGCTAAGTACAAGGTAACTTGGTGGAAGCAGAGAACATTCACAACTAGAGGAACAGAAAGACTGACTCAGTGGCTTATGAGCTGGCCCACGGAGGCAGATAAGGATTCTGAGAGGCAGAGGTGAAGAGTGGATGCAAATGCATGAAGCTGCATTTGCAGAGGAGTGGAACTCCCAGTCAGTAAGCCAATAAGTATTTATTAAGTGTTTACTAGAAGACCAGCAAGAAAGACAAAAACAGGAGATAAAATGGTAAAGACATAATGAGGAGACAACATCAAATTATCAGACACTTACAAGATATGTACAGGGGAGATAGAAGGTAATCTCAGAGGGAAAGGCCCCAGCAACTAGGGAAGGGCCTCCTGCAGAAGATGGGACTTGAACGGAGTCTTTTATTTCCCCTAGCTTATTTTTTTAAAAAAAATTTTTGGGTTAAATTTTAAGTCCCAAATTGTCTCCCTCTCTTCCTCCCAACCCCACATTAGAGAAGACCATCATTTGAACTATACAGTACATAATTCCATATATTAGTTCTTTTTCTGGAGGTGGACAGCATCTTCCTTCCCAAGTCCTCTGTAGTTAATTTACGTGTTCATATTACTCAGAATAGCTTATTTGTTCAGTTATTTTTTGAACAGTATCACTTGTTATTATACACAGCGTTCTCTTGGTTCTGCTCATTTCATTCTTCATTATTTCATGCAAATCTTTGCATGTTTTTGTAAACTGTACCAGCTCATCATTTCTTACAGCACAGTAGTATTCTGTCACAACTACATACCACAACTTGTTTAGCCATTCCCCAATAGATGGGCATCCCCTCAATTTCCAGTTCTTTGCTACCACAAAGAGGGCTGCTATAAATATTTTAGAACATATAGGTTCTTTTCATTTTTCCCTGATCACCTTGGGAAAGAGGCCTAATAGTGGTATTGCTGGGTCAATGAGTGTACACAGTTTTATAACTCTTTGGGCAACAGGGAACCAGTAAGGCTTGTGAATAGAGGAGGAACAGGGCCAGATGTGCCAGGTTATTCTGGCAGCTATTAGGAGGATGAGTTAGAGAGGGAAAAGAGGTTTGAAGCAAGTGCTGAATGAAGAGGCTACTATAACAACACAAGAATGAGATGACCAAGGTCTGAACTGGGGTCGTGGCCTGGAGAACGGAGAGGAGACAGATCTGGGAGATGCGGGTTGTTAACTCCCAAGTACTGAGTTTGGTGACTAGGAAGAGGGCAGGAGTGATCTCCACAGAAATAAGATTTGGAGAAGTGGCAATTTTGGGGAAAACATGGATTCCATTTTGTTTATACTGAATTTGAGACACTGATTAAGGCAGACATCTAGTAAGAGAGAGAGACCCTGCCCTTGAGGAGCTCATAATCTGACAGAGAGACAACCTGCAAACAACTATGTACCTACAAGACAGACAGACACACACACACACACACACACACACACACACACACACACGATAAATAGGAAATAATCAACAGAGGGAAGGAACTAGCATGAAGAGGAATTGGGAAAGGCTTCTTATTGATCTCCCAGGGCATTAGGACAAGCATGAGATTGGACACACAGTAGGTACGATAGGATACAGTGTCCAGTTCTAGGCAGCACATTTTAGGAAATAGATGAGAAAGCTGGAAGGTATTAAGAGTAGGGTTATTTTTCTGTTTGAGAAGCCGATAGTTCTTAAAACCACATTCCATGAAGACTAAGCGGGGTGAATGGAGCTGTTCAACATGGAGCAGAGGTCTGGTGGGGTCTGGGGAAAGGCTGCTATCCTCACACAGCACAACTAGCTACTTCACGGAAGGCAGGTTAGCTCTGTGTTGCTTAGCTCCAGAGGGCAGACTGAGGCCCGTGGGCACAAGTTACAGGGAAGTCGATTTTGTCTCAATACAAAAGAAATATTTGCTACAATCAGAGGCCCGGAAGAGGAGTGGTGTGCCCAGCCCCAGCGCCCTTTCACTGCTGGACTGCTGCTTCCCAGTGACTGAAAGAGGAAGAATGGCGTGATAGCTCCCCAGACTCTTCAGGAGCAACGGGCAAAGTTCTCTGTGTGCGTTTCTGGGCCCTTTCAATCACGTGTGCTCAGCTTTCTGTTTCAAACCTGCTTCCAGCCCGGCTGTGCAGGGGTTTTTTGGGTTTTTGTTTTTGTTTTTTAATTTAAAAGATTTTCTGGATCACAGCATCCCTAAGAAAGAAAGGATGTGGAATTACAGATTTGGTGACCCTGCTGATGACACCGAAGGCACAAATATGCAGCTCCTTCACTCTCTTTCTCTCCAGATTCTACAGTTAGCTGAGAATCAGGAATACTAATTCTGACATCTTAGTCCCTAGTTGCCCAAAGCGAGCAAGTCACATGTCAGAGCTGGAAGGGACCCAAGAGACAGTCCATCTACGTCCTTTGTTTTACAAAAGAGGAAACCAAGGCCCAGTAACACAAGGTCACAATGACTTAGAGACAGAGGCAAGACGAAAATCCTCTCCAATTCCTCTTGGTACTTTTTCCACTATAGCGTACTCATTATGTTTCGTGAGCACAAACGCACAATAAGCACAAGCACACTTCACACAATATTGCCTTAACAAACAGCAGCAGTGTTAACTTCCTGAATGCCAATTTTCCACCATCATAAGGCTTACCGAGAGTGCATAAGCAGCATGCTCATGGAACTAAATGTTCTTCCTCTAGCTTTGTTCTGCCTAATGCACTTTCACCAAACTAATAAGTGACAGGAGTCGGGGGGTGGGGGAAGACTGGCCAGCTACATTAGTCCTTTAGAACAGGGCCTATGTTTTCTGTCCTTGTGTGCCCCAATGCGCACAGCAGTGGCTGAGTACAAAGCAGGCGCTCAATCAAGCCTTCCCTGAGAGTGTAAGATCCTCCTGGGGATGGACTGTCTTTTTCCTTCTGTAGAGGTTAGCACAGTGGCCAGCATACAGTAGGTGCTCCACCCGCTGGTCTGTTACCACGCCTACCTGATCATGATCAACGTCAGCATCTCCTGTGATCACAATTCTTTTTTCAATTCGGGTCTCTGAGATCCCACCTTTCACGGTCTAAAATCAAAGGGAAATGGTTATTAGGGGACTTTCGATGCCAAAGAGGGAAATTTTAAATCTGCACTGCTTAGTGTCTGAGTCTGTATTTTTTATCCTTTTCTCCCAGATCTTGTTTGGAACTGTTACAATGATCATATAACTATAGCTCTTTGGACCCTTGAAGTCTTCAATACAAAAGTCCTTTTCCTTTTTTCACTCATGTTCTTTTCTCAGTTTCAGTGATTAAGGAAAGCTACTATAGAAGAGGCAGCAGGAGGAGTGTCAAGAGCCCTGGACTTGGAGTTGGAACCCCCGAGTTCTCGTCCCAGACCTCAGTCAAATCACTTCCCCTCTCTGGGGCTCAGCTGCCTTCACTGTAAAAGGAAGGAGGTAGAGAGGCAGCATGTCTTAGCGCATGGAGAGCTGGCCTCAGAATCAGGGGAATCTGGATTGCTTCAAGGTTTGCAAAGTGCTTCTTTACATTTATTATCTTACTTCATCCTCATAGAAACCCTCAAAGGCAGGGATTTTTATTATCTCCATTTCACAGATGAGAAAACTGAGGCAGATGATAGTGACATGATTTTCCCAGAGTCACACAGCTAATAAGTGTCTGAAGCAAGATTTGAATGCAGGTCTCTTTCCTGACTCTAGCCCCAACACTTTCTTCTTTCTACATATTTTGGTTTGAGTTTAGAGGGACAACAGGAAAAGAAAACAATAGCTCATACTTATGCAGAACAAAGCACTACTCACTACCATCCTGTTAGGCAGATTGTGCAAGACTGTCTTACAATACCATTACAGACAAATACAATCATTCTCATTTTAAAGATGATGAAATTGAAGCTCAGAATCTTTAAGCAACTAAGCCCAACATGGGGAGTGATGGAGTCCAAGTTCTCACCCAGATGCAACGTCAGAGAGCTGAACACTAAATGCATTAATGAAAAGCATTCCTTAAGCCCAGGGCCAAATGCCATTTGAGCAGGGGAATACAAGCGAGGCACTTCCTGATCTGGGGGGGGGGACACAACTCCACAGAACACAGTGGGGGCCCCGGAGGAGTCACCCCAATGGGGAACAGAAGGGAGCCACAGGGCTCCTGCTTCATTTGGGACTGATGGCCTCTTGCCCAGTGCTTGGCACACAGGATCTGTCATTCGAAGTGTTCTTCTGAGAGGTGCAGGTTCAAATGATGAGGTCACTGGGGAGCAGCTCAGTATCACATCTGCTAGTTTTCTCAGGGTCCAAAGATATAGTGCTCCCTAATAATCCTTACTTGCTTTTTCATTTCTGTTCCAAAAATCATTCTTGCTGGCAGAGCAAAGACAAGTAAAGTAACAGGTGGACAGGTCAGTCTCCTCCCTGCTCGCGGTCATTACTGCCCCACCCATCTAGCTGGCCTTATCTCTCCTCTCCCCACTTTGCTGTTCCAAGCTCTCCTTGTCCCTGGGTCACTGGTCTTTGGCACTGTCTCTCTTTACAGAAGTCTGGGAGGGGAATCAAGGAGCCCAGACAAAGAGGGACTGGCTCTGCGTTCACTGTTCTCAGGGACAGCCAGACCAAGTGGGATGTATTGTTACGATGATGCTCTCCTAACACCTCTACTTCCTTGCACCAGAGATCAGCACCGAACAGGGCTCTTCTCAGGCACCTCCCCGCTGAAAATTCAGGAGTAGGGCAGGGCGCTACCCTACCTAAGAAGCCCCAAGCTCTCACAGGGACACAGGGTTGGGCATTCCTACCTCAACAAGTATGTTTTTTGAAGCCTGACCCACATCAAATAGCCTCCCCCTCTTGGCAGCAGGTTGTAGAGTAGACTGGAATGAGGAAGAGGCTTGAATTAGGAAGGCCACTTAGGAGGCTGTGGCAAACAATCCAGGCAAGAGGTGAGGAGGGCCTGAACTAAGATGGCAGCTGTGCCAGTGGAGTGCCACTGCCTCACCTGGGACAGAGATCACAGAACTTATCCATACCCAACGTCCTTTGCTATTTGTTGAATGTAGAAAGTTGGGTACAAGTGGTGGTTGCAATCAGGGAGATATCTTTAAAATGGCCTTATGACTTTGAATTTCCCACAGAATTCCCACTTCCACCTTCAAGTCCTAGCTCTGAAATTTCTGCTTCACACTTCCCCTGTGGCTAACCCAGAAAATGGTAGAGTCAGAAGGAGCCTTTGAGTTCATCGAGTCTTTGCATATGTTGAGTAAACTGGGGTTCCAAGGATCGAGGTCACACCGCTAGGACCAAGACCTGTGGCTTCTAGGACTCCCAATTCAGTATTCCTTCTCTTACACTATGATGCCTCAACTGCTGCCTTTCCCAGTCAGTCCACAAAGAACCTGACGGGCAATTCAACAAATCAGTAACTAAAGTGGACAAAGAATATTAAGAGCTCCCTTCTTCCCAACTTTCCTGTTTCTGATGGGGGCCCCATTATTCTTCCAGTGCCTCAGGTTCCTAATCTCGGCATCCTCCTCAGCCTTGCTCATCCCATCACCTGCCAGCTCTTGCCATTTCTACCTAGACAACATCTCTCACTTCCAACATCTTCTCCCCACTCACAGAGCTGCCATCTTATTTCAGGTCCTCATCACCTCTTGCCTCCTGCCTTCAAGTCTCTTTCCCATTCTAGTCTATTCTATAACCTGCTGCCAAAGTCACTTGCCTTCAGTGAAGACCTGGCTATGTGACCTTCCCTTCTCAGCCTACTCCAGTGGCTTCCTAGAACCTCTAGAATATACCATAAGTACTCTGTTTAACTCTGGAAGTCCCACACTCCCCCTGGAGCCTCACAGGACATTACTCCCCATCCTCCCTGCTGAGCTCCAGCCAAACTGGCTTCCCTTGGTTCTTCTCTCACCACCCTCTGGCTGTTCCTCATGCCTGGAGAGCACTTCCTACTCGCTTTGCCACACAGACTCCTTCTCTTCACTGAACGTTCAGCTTAGACACCATCGTCTTCAAGGAGCCTTTTCTGACCCACCAACTGCTAGTACCCTCCTTCCTCTGAAACTACCTTGCATTTAACTACTTTGTGTGTGTGTGTGTGTGTGTGTGTGTATACATATTTAACTTGACATTTATAATGTTCATATTTTTCTATATATTTGTCTCTCACTAAAATATAAGTTCATTTTGAGTGGGAATTGTTTCATTCTTTGGACTTGTATCCCCAGTGTCAGGCACTGCAACGATTAATAAATATTTGACACTGATAGTGCTTTCTGGCTAACAAAAGCGCTTTTCTCATAACCAATGTCCAGGGTAAGTAATGAAATTATTATTATCTCCATTTTATAGCTGAGGAAACTAAGACCAAGAGAAGATGTGATTTTCTCAAAATAAGCTTTGTAGCTGGGACTTGGACATGGCTTTTTTTTTATTACATATCAAACACTTTAGAAAATTATATCATACCATCTCTTTGGGGCCACTAGGAAGGGATCTCTCAGTGTCTCCTACCTTTCCCCACAGGACACTTAATCTGCTATTATACAGATCAGTACTCAACTTCTAGGCAGGAAGCGGAGAGTTTGGAGTAATTCGGCTTGGGAGACAAGCTGGGGCTCCACACTCTTGCCCCGGCCAAGGTGTTCTGGGGAAGAAAGCAGTCAATTCAGCAGCCCAGCAGGTACCAGCCTCCCTTTCTACAACAGTACATTACCTTGGTAATCTGAGTTGTGGTGGTGCTGCTGGTGGTCTCTGATGTAATGGTCTGAGCTGTCAGCAGGACACCAGGGTCTAAGTCACCATTGCCCTCCTCGGTCTGCAGGGAGAACCATATACTGTCATTAAGCATCTCAGTGGGTAAGATGACAGGCCTACGGAGACAGAGCATCTGCTGCTCCCTCAGCTCAGTTGCACATTTTAAAATAATAACCTAAGTCCTATAAAATAAACCTTTGACTATCAGTCCCTCTGACAAAGTCAGCCTGAGTAAGGAAAGGTTGGATTCCCTCAGTGGCTAAGGAGGCAGTGGCAACATAAGGTAGAGGCCCCCTGAACATGGGCTGGGATGTGCCCCTGGCTGATGGCCAACACCACTGGAGTCCCATGGCCTGGTTGCACGGGCATGGGACCATCCTGAGAGAGGCAGAAAACCACTAGAAACAGAGAAGAAACATCTGATGGAGCCTAGGTGTTATAGAGAAGGAATCCACATCTCATAGCACATCTATGTACTTTGTATTGCTTCTACCCTTATTGACCAAGTTCCTAACAATGAAATGAGGGAAATTCAACCAATTCACTTAAAGAAGAAGGGCTGACAAGGCATCTTTCCTACAAAGTTAAACTTTTATGAAGACAAAAGCAAGGAGCTGCCTTTCATCTGGAGGCATGTGGTATGGACAGGTAGTCTCCCTCATTAGAAAGAAATTCCCTGAGGGCAGGGAGTGTTATTATAGTTTCTCGGTTTCCCATAGTTAACGGATCTACTCATTGATTACAGAATAGTCTGGAAGATGAAGTAAGGAAAGGATAGGAGTGGATAGAAGAGGAGGAAAGGGGAGAGGAAAGGAAAGGAGAGGAGAGGAGAAAAGAGAAGGGGAAGGAGGGGAGAGGAGAGGAAAAGGAGAAGAGAAGAGGGAAGAAGAGAGGGAGAGGAGAGGAGAGGAGGGAGGGAAGAGGAAAGGAGGGGAAAGAAGAAGAAAAGGAGAGGAGGGGAGGTGAAAGGAAAGGAAAAGGAAAGGAGAAGAGAGGAGGAGAGGGGAGAGGAGAGGAGGAAAGGGGAGGGGAGGGGAAAGTAAAGGAAAAGGAGAAAAATGGTGAAGACCTAACAGATTAAATATGCGAAGAGGAATTAAGACTTCCTGTGCCTGGCTTCAGAGGGCAGAACTAGGAGCAGTGGGTCTCAGAGGCACACTGAAGCTTCTAAATCAGGAAAACCTCCCTCGCTCTTGGGGCTGTAAAAAGGTGAGATGGCCCACCTTCTAGCCCCATCCCCAGAGGTTTTCAGCCGCTTCGGGGATGTGTTGCATGTGGATTATTTTTCAGGCATGCTTTGGATTCGATGGTTTCTAAAGTTCCTTCTAACTTTGATAGTCTGTGATTCTGTGGAGTCACTGGGATCTATTCAGCTCGGACACTGCCTGTGGTTCAGTCTCTCTATTGGGGCTATCTGGACTGAGGACCTCCAATCTTCTGTAGGAAGAAAGGGCGCACAGTGATGCCCCTGAACAGGGAAGGGAATGCCACCACTGAATGACCCCCTTCTTTGATGGGAATGCTGGGAAACAGCAGAAAGTGAGACAAAGGACTGGATGGGAAGGGGGGTAGTTCTTTACCAGCCCAAGTACCTAGCGGAGCAAGGAACCACAGACCCTGCACTCAAGTAACTCTCATTGTGTTGGGCGAGACAATATGCATGCCTATAATACTAGCTAACATTGATATAGAACCTGCCATGTGCCAGCGCAAGCACTTTACAATGATTATCTCATTTGTGTCTGCAAATACATACACGTTTATAATTAGTATATACAAAAGAAATACAATGTCATTTTGGGGGAGATGGCATTACAGCAGAGCATTGAAAGAACTAGGGATTCTAGGAAGCAGAAATGAAGAATGAGCACGTTCTGGGCATGCAGAGCTAGAGATGGGAGACAGAATGTGGGACATGAAGAATGGCAAGAGAAAGCTGTCTCAGCTGAACAGGCTGAAGACTGTTTCAAGTAATGCATAATACCACTGGGCAGGAGGGTTGAAGTAAGGCTGTGGAGAATTTTAAATGACAAAGGAGTTTGCATTTGATCCTAGAGGTAAGAGAGAACTCTAAGAGTTTATGTGAACAGGGATCTAGGGTGATAGTTTTAAAGCCGGAAGGGCCCTTAGTGTCCTCAAGTCCAGCCTCTTCCTCGTTGTAGAGGGGATCATCTGAGGAGACTGGCAGGGGTTAAGTGACTAGTCCAGGGTTGCAAAGCTCTTAAGTGTCCAAGGTGGGATTCCAGCCCAGGTGAGTGACATGATCAAACCTGTGCTTTAGGAATACACTTTAGCAGCTGCATGTAGAATGGCAGAGAGAGGAAAGAGACCTGAAGCAGGGAGAGGCTGCTGCAAAATCTAGGCGAGCTATGATGAGGGCCTGAACAATGGCGATGAACCTACCAGTGGAGAGATGGCAATGAATGCAACAGGTGTTGGGGAGACAGAATCAGTAAAACCTGACAACTGACTGGACAGGGGGTGGGGAGAAGAGGCAGGCTAGAGCATGACTCCAAAGCGCCAACCTTCCTGGATCCCAGTCTGCTGGCTTGGCCCCCGATCTAAGCCAGCCACAGAGCTATGGGGTGGTCACTTGCCAGTACCCTAACATTTTCCTCAAACAAAACATTTTATATGTGAAACTCATCCTCTTTTCCCCCAAAATTTTGATTTTTCTGCTGCAGACACCACAATCCTTTTCATCATCTAGGTTCTTAACCTTGAAGTCATCCTTAATTCTCCCCCATATTCCATTGGTTGTCAAGTCTGACCAATTCTACCTTCTTCACCCATCTCATACCCCTTTCCTTGGTCACTATGCTAGTTCAGGCCCTCCTCATTCCTAAAGTGAAATATGGCCGAAGCCTCCTAAGCAGGCCCACACAACTTCCAGTCTCTTTCCGACCTCTCCACACAGCTACCAAAGCAATCTTCCTTTAGCACAAGTCTGACCACATCACTCCTCTCCTCAAGTACTTTCAGTGGTTCCCTACTGCCACTGCTTTTAGGAAAAAAATACTGATGCCTTAGCTTGGCTCTAGCCTACCTTTCCAAGCTTATAACTTGATGGTTTTGGAAGCAGGAAGGAAGAAGTGAGCCTATGACAAACTGGAAAAAAAGGCTGATAGGACTTATCAATGAATTAGATGTGGAAAAAGCTGAGGGAGAGAAGAGACAAATATCAATTCAAGATAGTGAACCTGGGTGCTTGGGTTGGGAGGGGACGCTTATAGTGCCCCTGAGGAAAGAGGTGAGGCTCAGTCCCCTTTCACTCTCCACGTTCCAGCGGAATTGTTCTACTTGCTTTCATGCACCTTGGTCCTCCAGCTCCTGCTTCTGTGACTGCCTAAGAGGCCCCCTTCCTACAATACTCTCTTCTGCATTTCTGCTTCATTCTAGACTCACTTCAGGCCCTACTTCCTGAGGAAAACTGCTCAACCTCCTGTGGTCAGTGCTCTCTCCCTAATACAATTATCACCCATACACTTCTGTTTACACAGTATCCCAGCCCCAAGTAAGAAGCATGTAAACTCCTCGAGGGCAGCGCTGTTTTTCACTCTCTCTGTATCCCTTGCACCTAACGAAGCTCCTGAACTTGGGTACTTAAGCACTCATTGGCCAGGGAGATAAAAGCTCTGGGGCAGAGTGCTCTTATACGGCTTACAAGTTCCTCCTCCATGTCCCCTCACCTTCTTGTCATGTCCCTGCAAAATGCAGAAGTGGGAATGACGATGTTCTGGTTTCTTCCCTGTCTGTACCTGCCCCATGGGCAGCAGCCTCCTTTCCTTTACCCCTTTTCCAAGGTGCCACCAAACTGCACCCTAACTCCCCAGGCGAGGCTGTAAGGGCACCTACTAGTTCCAAGAATAATGACCCAATTTAGAGAAAATAAAATTAAGGCTAGTAGACTTTTTAAGAACTTGCTTCTTATTAAAAATTTATTTATTTTTAGTTTTCAACATTCACTTTTATAAAATTTTGAGTTCTAAAATTTTCCCCCTCCCTCCCTTTCCCTCTCCCCAAGACGGGCCTGTAATCTGTACATGCTATACATGTACAATTATATTACACACATTTCCATATTAGTCATATTCTGAAAGAAGATTCAGAACAAAAGGGAAAAATCATGAGAAAGAAATAAAAAAGAAAGAAAACAGTATGCTTCCATCTGCATTCAGACTCCACAATTCTTTCTCTGGATATGGATATCATTTTCTATCATGAGTCTTGGAATTGTCTTAGATCCTTGCATTGCTGAGAAGAGCTAAGTCTATCAAAGTTGGTCATCATACAACGTGGCTGTTATTGTGTACAACGCTTTTCTGGTTCTGCTCACTTCACTCAGCGTCAGTTCATGTAAGTCTTTCCAGGTTTTTCTGAAGTCAGCCTGTTTATCATTTCTTATAGCACAATAGTATTCCATTACATTCATATACCACAACTTGTTCAGCCATTCTTAAATTGATGGGCATCCCCTCAATTTCCAATTCTTTGCTACCACAAAAAGAGCTGCCATAAATATTTTTGTATATGTGGGTCCTTTTCCCTTGTTTATGATCTCTTTGGGATATAGACCTAGAAGTGCTATTGCTGGATGAAAGGGTATGCACAGTTTTATAGCTTTTGGGGATAGAATAACTTGCTTCTTTCTCCTAAACCATCCCTTCTAGAATTCTCCCCAGCCCAGATAAGCCTGCAAAGCACAGTATGGTAGTGAGACATGTCTGAAGAGGACCTAGGGTACCAGACCTTTCCTAGTTCCCCAATGGCACTACAAGCCCCCCTAGCACCCAAGTTCGCAGTCTTGAATTCATGGTCAGCTCCTCTATCTGACTCTGATAAGTGCTATTAGCCTTTTCTTACCCACAGTTTGTTATGGACTCACTTCTTCCTTCCTACTTCGAAAACCATCACTTAAGTCCAAGTCTTCATCACCTTATTTATGCCTGGACGACCTTGCTATGATTGTGCCTCCACTGTCACCATCAAACATTGACTTTATCTTGTCACTCCACTAACACCTGACAGTGATTCTCTATTGTCTATCCCATCCAAACTTTTCTGCCCGAGCTTCAAAGCCTCCCACAATCTACCTGCATTATCCTTGGCCACTACTCTCACCAGCTCACCAACCCCATTTTTTTTTATTTCCAACACAGACTCGCTAACCTGGCAATCAAATTGCCTCTCTATGTATTCTGCATCCAGTCTAAATACATTCTGTTGACTGATAAATGAAAGGGAATTTTCCCTCTTCTGAATCTATGAACAACAAAAACAGTAAATAAATGCTATCTGCTAGAACTATGGAGAAGAACTTGATTATAAGTAACTGAAGATTTAGATTTAAAAAATGGTATCTTACCTGGGCAGCCTCATAAGTGATGGTTTTTGTCTCAGTGTGAACAATGGGGACATCTTTGGTTGGGATTTCACTTTTCCCAGCATTAGCAACATCTGAGATGGTGACAGTCTGAGTCTTTACCAGGGGAGGCTACAAAACAGTGGGAAAGCAAAATTATTTATGTCCTTTCTGAGGGAAACAGCCAGCCAACCCTCTGACACTGACCTGATCAAAGTTTCAGGGCCTTAGCAAACAAAAAAATCCAATTCAGAATCCCAAAAGTTGTTTGCACAGGATTTGCAAATCATTCTGCAGTAGTTTTAACAAAGTGTCAAATCGTAAGGGATGGTAAAGAATTATATTCCTATAATAACCTGTGTATGCCTAATGAAAAAACAAAGTAGCCATAAGACCTTGCAGTTAAAGTGTATGATTTGAAGCATTTTGGATTGGCTTCAGAGCCAAAATTTGAATACAAAACTGTTGCCAAATAGCAATTATTTTGTTTCCTCCTTGTGATTGCACCACTGCAATAAAAAAAAAAATATTGGCCACACATTTCCTCCCTTAAGTCCAAATGATGCATGAACAACAGTGACCCTGGAATTCATTAACTCTTTTCAAATCAATGTCAGATGTTCACTTTTGAGTTCTTGAAAGGAAACAGTATTTGGAAAGCTGGAAAGAGAAAAATCAGTTATGCCACCACCTGGTGATTAACATCAGAAGGACAGACATTATTAGTGAAAGGGAAGGCCATCTTTGCCAAATCAGCTCACCTTCCCCCAGCTGGTAAATCACTCTGAAAGCTGCCTCTTGATTGTGCAGGGGTTACATGGTCATCTACTTTAGCATAAAGGATTAGTACCAATGATCACTAGAACCCACTTCTCTTTCTCCCTGGGATGGGAATAGTGGAGGGTAACAAAACAAGGTAGGTAATGAGTATTATTAGCATCTTACAGAGTCAGATTTTGTGACCGAGATATGTTCCTATCTTAGCCCTGAAATAATCTTGGTGAGGAACCAACTATTCTTTTTCAACAGAGCAAGTGCATTTATCAAAAACACAGACATCTCACAATTTCACCTTTCTTTATAAATCTGCATTTGAGCCAAGAAAGGTAGAGTGCCTTTTTTTTTTTGGCTAGGCAATGGGGTTAAGTGACTTGCCCAGGGTCACACAGCTAGTAAATGTCATGTGTCTGAGTCCAGATTTGAACTCAGGTCCTCCTGAATCCAGGGCTGGTGCTCTATATACTGCTCCACCTAGCTGCCCCTAGAGTGCCCTTTTTAAAAGCCCTTATCTAAGTCTATGCAATGATCATGACAGGGCTTATTTAGATTTGCAAATTAGCTGGAAAAAAATCAATTCTTGCCTTGGAATTCCCTCTGAGTGAGTTCCTCTGAGACAGACTCTAGAATTCTTTAATCAGAAAAGCAAGAAATAAACTCCTCCCATCACCATCCCAGGGAGAGTTCTGGCCCTCTCCCAAAGAGAGGCATTTGACCCAAACCATTACTACCTGGAAACTTCGAATGAGGGTGGGGAACCCTGAACCCACGTGAAAGTCAGGATATGGTCCATTTTGCTTCCCAGGTTGCTCATTTGGTGTAACATGGTCTTCACCACCCTCTGCCTCTTTTTCACCAGCATACAGCTGACAGGAAGCAGGTGTTTCTGAGAGCATGCACTTCGAGAGTTCTAAGGCACCAGCTTGCTCTTCTACACCTGTACATACCCCATTTGGACAACTTAGCATCTCCTTGTTACCAAAGAGACCAGCTGGCCCATGTGCCTTGTCTTCTGCCTCCTTGATGTTTATGGAGACAGGCCCAAAGTCATGGCTTTGTAGAGACTCCAAGGGGGTTGTCATTTGGGTCCCACTATGAGCTACTGAATGCTCAAGGCCCTCCCATTCAGAGTCAAGGTTTGGTTTCTCTGTCACTGCATCCACTTCCTCTTTAGGAATGTCATTCATAGTCTACAAGTGAATGAATATACACAAAAGCAAGAAGATAATATTAGGAATGAAGGTGGAATGCTCTGAATAATAAAAGCAGACGGTCTTAAAGGAAGACCAAGTCTTTTGCTATTCCTGTGGATTTTTAAGGGTGGAAATCACAATAGCACTGGCATAAGCCAAGAACCCCTAGCTTTCATGGGTTTCAGAACCAAGAACTATTGCTAGGGATGGTCCATGAAGCCAGAGTCACTCCAACTGCCAGGAAGGTGCTGCACTCTAATTTCAGTCAAGCATTTGTGTAGACCTTTATATAATTAGTCTGAAGAATTTGGGGGATATATCTTGCTCAGTATCAAGCACCCTCTGGGTTTCCCTACGTGATTTCTTTGGTGCCTAGAAAAATCAATTTGTCATTCCTAAACATTCATTTCCCAGGAAGGATCTGAGCACAGAAGAGGTTCCACCTCATTAAAGAATTCATAAATATTCTTGAGAATGACAATTTAAATAAAATGCTGGTTAAGTTGCATCACCTAATCCTGATTCACCATTTTAAAAGTTGATTATCACTGTACTAGCTCCTGATGGCACCATCAGGCTTATGATCCAGATTTCCCTTTGCCTGCCAACAACAGAGCAGCTGTGTTAGTATATGGATGCCCAAGCACTGACCAATGGCAATCAATGTTATAGCATGAATTTCAATACTAATGTTCAAATGCCTTTTTTGTATTTTTAAGAAAGCTGCCTAAAGAGGCTTTACTGAAGATGGGCAAAAAATATGACTTGAAATGATCCAACACCAGGGAAAGACTACCATCTGGCAGATGAACTATGTAATATCTCCAAGAAATATAGAATACCATAGGGATTAGGAACCATGGTTTACTCTTAGGTAGTGGCTAAATACCTTGTCATAAATGAATGCTTCAAAGCAATCCTGTTATCAGTATTTTCTGCAGCAATAGAGAGTAATCTAGCTAACCCTAAAACTCCTAGGAAGGTGACAAAAGGGGCAGGAATTGGTCAGGGAGAAGAGACCCAAGTGACATAAATAAGAAAGCAGGATTGGCCATCTGAGCAAACAGCCTTAAGAAAGCCAAACGACATCCGAGTCAGCTAGCACTGGTTTGCTGGCAACATTCTGAAAAAAACAGCCCACATTACGACGATGTCTGCACATTGGTGTGGGAAAAGAGTCCTTTTAGCACTGCTCACATGATTCATGGACTTAATACTAAACTGCTTATCTTTTAAAATTGTTTTAAAAAACAGTTCAGCTAAAGGATTTATGCTTAGGAAACAATTTAACATTTTAGTTCTTCCAACAAGATGTCAATATGGCAATTAAAAAAAAATAACAGTTTCTCATTAAAGCATATGTCATTCCTAGAATGTAACAATAAGCCTGAACAGTAGCTCTATGAAATTAAGAAAGAATGCTTATAACCTAGGAATGTCATTCTAGAAATATTTACGTCTAGAAACTTTACACTTAACTGCCTATCATCTTAAACTGTAGGACAACTAATACTAGAAAAAATTAGGTTCAGACCAGGTCAGTCTTGCACTGGTCAAGAATGAATATTATCTAGTACATAACAGATTTGAGAGAGGGACACAACCAGGAGCTATGAAGTTTGACTTCTTAGTGGCCTCCTTGCCAAGGATATCTGACATAATTGCACCATATTGCTTTCTAGGGGAGCTGACCACTCTTTTCTTGATGGTTAAGCCACCCTGACATAGACCCACTTAAGAAATGGAATTGCTGGGAATAAACAAATAAGTCCTCACAGTACAGTATACTAGGATCAACATTCTTGAATATACATGCCAACTTTTATTCTATGTAGATCAACATGAGGATTTTTATGCATTATTATGCCTCTTTGCTAAATAAGAAATGATTTAGTTTGTATGGCTAAAAAATATTCCAGGCAAAGCAGCCTATTAAAAAAAAAAAGAACCAAATTTATATCACCCTGATTAATGAGAGGACAGGTGACAGTTACATCAAGGTGCCATCTGGGAATGAAATATCATTTAGAGTAATGAAATATTTTTCTAAAGTATACATCTAAAACACACATAGAGTGGCCAAAGATAAAGGTGGTATCCACAGTAAAGACTTTGAAAGTTGCTACAGGGTCAGTTCAGTTTTATTTTGAGAACCACTGCTTTTGTCTTGAACTATTCCATACAGAACAAGCATGCCAAGAAAGTACATGAGAACACAGGAATTGACAGATCCATGATCTATCCAGCTGAGCATTCTGTTTCTGAAGTAACACTGAGGAATAGAGAACCATAGAATGTCAGAGATGGAAGAGACTAAAGCCCTCATTTTATAAATAAGATAAATAAGATGCAGAGAGCTTAAATAACCAGTCTGGGTGGTGTAGAAGGGCTTTTTCTCTGACATACCTCAAAAGAACAGGGATGTACCCCAAGCTAGTTTCTGTTTGAAATAATATTTGTTAAGTAACACAAAGGATGTCTAAAGCTATGATCTAAGGATAATCTATCCTAGTGGCTGACAGTTTTCTCCTAGGTATCAGAAAGATAACTGACCTCAATGGCAAGATCTTGGTAGATGGAAAGTCCACAAAGCTTCCATGACACAAAATTAATCAACTGTCTTAAATACTGCGATTTTATAGACAGTGCTGTGTCTTAGCTAAGATAGTCAGCAAAGTTCAAAGGATGACATGATGAAAGACACTATATATCTGTGCATATTAAATTGGAGAACCTTCCAAGAGAAGCTTATATTATCAAGATCTGAACCACGGACATGTCGTAACGGGGCTGGTCAAAAATTTAATGTGATTGATCACATGATTAAGGTACATTGGCAAGGGGTTAAAAGCAAGCAATTTGAGAAGCCTTTGTGGTTGCTGACTCTGAAGAAGACTTATAAGAAGAACCTTGTTGCCACCAGAGAAGCTGTCACTTATCCACAGTTCTATAAAGTTGATGAAAGGGATATTGAGGAGAACATTATATAACATATCATAAAAACCGGCTAGTTGAATGAAATCCTCAATCTCATAAAAATTCCATCTGATTAAGAAAACTAAAAGCAGAAAACATTAAGATTACTATATTAATTGTTTACTGCTATACTCACAAAGGAAAAGTCTACTTAAACCAGAATGGCCCTTAGTCCAGTATGATGCTTATGTGCTAGGTTTTTTTTTTTGGGGGTGGGTTGTTTCTTGGTGGTAGAGGGAATAGGGAGGGAACCAAAGTGCTGCCTTAAAAAAGAGGCATTTTATTAAAACTATGTTTAAAAATGTACTTTATATCTCAAGACCATAACCCATGTATATGCCTTTACAATTCTAAATTATCCTTCCACTGGTTTACTGAACTCTAGATAGCATTAATAGCAGGATGTGGGCGTTTTACTGGAGTTTTGCTGTAGCTTCATCAAATGCAAACCAGATCCTCTCTTTCTTTTCAGGCTATTTTTGAACTTAAAGATTTACATATGTCAAAGGCTTGTCAAAGTGGAAATATTCATGCTCAAATGATTGTCTTACTTTACAAGTATTCTAGAGAAGCTTTATCCAGAAAGGCTGAAGAGAGCCACATCTTCCCCCTTCCCATAGGTCTTAGCATTTGTACCACATATCAGCCAATTTTACCCTTAAGTGAAAAGAGGAAAGCAATACCTTTCCCTGTCTGAAGAAAGTCTTGTTTCCATCACACTTTGGCCTTATATTTATTAATACCTGGGACAGGGAGACATGCTGTGGCTCTGACTGGTCTGCCAAGGGAACTTAGCGTAGCATCTTTACCCAGCTACTCATACTTACTGTTGGGGTGAAGGGAAAGAAAAGAAACATGATATCAAAGATGGAGGGCTTTCCTAACAAACTATTTTTGTTCCAATTTTTTAAATCCCATTTTTGTCTACTGAAGAACAGTCTCTGGTTTAGGTAATGATAAAAATCTTAATGCTATCCAAACTTGAGGACAAAGCATCATTATTATCTGACCTTTACATGTCACTTTAAAGATGAACAGTGCTCAATAGCTTCTACTAATGAAAGACTAGTTAGAGGAAATAATTAACTACTGAAAAACTTCCTGGTGTCAAGGAATAAGACTTGAAACCAGAACACCTGTTGTTGAACCCCAGCCCTGCACCATTATTATAATAATAATGATATTATTATCATTATGAGCCTCTGTGAGTTTCAGTTTTTTCCCTCACCTGTAAAATGAGGATAAGGGTCCTGACACTGCACCCCTCTATAACCCCAACCCAAATTGGCTTTAGGAAAAAAGCTTTGTAAATATGACATCATTAAACCTCCACCTGAGTCCTGTTCTAATACCACACTGTGGCATGGCCATGATGACCCAGGGCCCTTGAAAGCTATGCCAGTGGAATTTCACCTCTGACGGGTCCTACTCAAGCTGAAAAGGCTTTGAAAGAAACTACGGGTAAGGGCAAGCCTAGGCAAACAAGTTTAAAGAGATTCATCACCAAGAAGGTGGCCATGAGAGGTGCAACCATGATCCTACAGCAGGGAGGGGTTGAGATAGATATTGTTCATGCCCACACTGACAAAATCACACATTTTTGGAGGTATTTTCACTAATGATAACCTAGAACCTCGTGTGACAATCTGGTTTTAAAAGTCAATTGTGAAGTTTAGTATGTTAAGTAACACCATATACAGAAAATCCACTCCACTTTAGATGGCTAGAGCCTCAATCTAGTTTGCTTGGAGTTTCCTAAGTAGAGATGACAGGAAGAAGATTGAATTCCTTAGTACATCTTCCTATATATGCCTAAAAGTCCTAAGATACTCCAAAGTTATTCTGGGGAGCTACTGGGAATCTGAAGGTTCCTAAAGCTGAAGTCTAGATCCAAACAAAGAATTCATAATGGGTGAAACCATCCACTGCTGTACTGTAGGAGACAAAATGTAGTAAGTAAAAGTTACAGCTCAAGAACGTCATATCCAATAGACACATGATTAGGTATTCATCCCCAAAAT